AAAAATTAATAAGGTAATAAAGACTGGGAGAAAAATATTTCAAAACCCTAAAGGACCAGACTTCACCATCTTTTACAATATTGGGTTTAACCAACCTCAAGAATTAGTTTGCTTTCTCAATAAAGTCTTTTAGTCTCCTAAAGTATGTCTTTGAGTTATGAAATCAGAATACATATATATGTAATACTTTCTACAATCATTCTCTTATTTATACTTTTGATAAATTCAGAATAACCATTCCATATCTAGTCTAAAAGCATACATTAAAATAAGAATTCTAGTCCATAATATTATGAAATGTTTAGAGGCACTGATGATCATTAAAGTAAAAAGTCCCCGTATAATCTTTCAAAAATCTACTTACAGGGAATAACAGCTATCATTGTTACCACACTGCAGAGCAGGACAAGGCAGATGAGTCCCAGGATCCCAGCAATGAGCTTCCCTGGAGGTGATGGTAAACCTACAGGGAGAGAAATGGAAACACTGAGAAAGGAGAGATGGAGACAGTTGTTTAGATAGTTTCCATATAAGAGAACCGACATGCACAGGGAATCATATACATAAACTTGAACCACCAACCCCTATCTACCATTGCAATCTTTGTCTCAGAATATACCATTGCATTTTCAGTAAATATAGTGCTCCTTGAGTTGTTAGTCAAAAACCACAAATCTTAACAATGGCTGAATGAAATTAGTCCTCAGATTTCATGTTAGAATACCATATTCCAACTTCAAGATCTGATCTTCACAAATGAAAAATAGGTGAGCTTATTCCCTACTCTTTCCCCGTACCTCTGTGCCTCAGCTGCACAATCTAGAACAGTGATACTGTTTGTGTGTCTATTAAAAGTTTTACCTTTGCCGTGGTGGTTCCTGTCATTCCCTTGAAGATCCTGAGAGGCATTTGGAAGGTTTAATTCAGCATAGGTTATTTCCTCCTCAGTTACTGAAATGGAGCTTTTAGTGCCCTTAGATTTCATTTGCTGTTTCTTTGAGACCTTAACCAGATTCAGCTCTGCATAGGTTATGCTTTGATTATTCATCTCTGCAGCTGAGTGATGTCAAGGACTGTGCTCTATGAAAACTGTACTTGAGTGTTTAATAGATGGTTTATATAACAACAAGATGCCTAGTACTGTCGAATGGGTGGAGTTGAGGTGAGTAATAGTACTCATTTTGCAGTTGAACAATGTAAAAGTGTGGTTCTAATTTTCTTACAGCTTTAAACATGTTTCATGATGGAATAAGCAGTTTTTGAAATGATTTTCTATGTTTGAAACAAGATTATTGGTTAGAGAAATGTAAAGCGATAAATTACTGAGGAATAAAGGAGTTCATAAAGAATAATGTCTTTCTAAGTTTAGTCAGATTCCACAGAAACATTTTAACACTATTAGAATAACTGGGTTCAAATTAAAATGCCATATTGGAAAAAAATGGTGCACCAAGTTTTATGACAATTTTAAAATCCATTCATGGTTGAAAATGAGTGTTCTCAAGTTGGGGGAATAGTAGTGTTAGCATTTATAGTAATTTCCTACACTAAATTAGTTTGATTTAGAAACTTACATTTACTTATTAAAGGGGATGAAGTGTTATCAAATGATCTTTTACTTTGAATGATAGTGGAGATCTGAAAAATCATTAAAATTTAAAGAAATATTTTTATGTTGAAAAGTCTTGTATGACACACTAAACTTATTCAAAACCTAAGAAATAATGAAAACAAAACAATTAAAATTTTTTTTAAATACTTATTTAACACAAGTCATGGGAAATTGATTCAATGGCAAAGATGTGAAACCATAAAATGATAAATAGGAGTGTAGATAATTTATGGAAGAACACTTTTGTTTCAAATTTTCAGAAAGATCCTATGGCTGTCTAAGTCAGTGAGGGTAGCTTTAGTTGTGCAACCAATTGTAATAAATCCGATAATATAATTTATTAATTCAGTCAGTGAGCTCTGCTGTCAGATCTGGAATTAATTCTGGCTTTGAAACTGATAATGTGTGACCTTTAAAAAGTTACTTAGTATCGAACTAGCAACCTAGTTTTACTAATCTAAAGCGAGAGTAAAAATATGTAATATAGAATGCATGTAAAACACTTAATACTCAATCTGGGCTTTATAAATTCTCCATAATATGTTAGTTATTTTAACTATTATTTTAACACAATTGCCATGGGGTTATTTCCAATTCCTATTAGTTAAACCAGTAAAGTAATTCATTAGATAGATGTCCCTTTATCAGTATGTTATGTCTTTTTTGCAATGTTTTCTTCAATTTTTTAAAGTTTTTTGTTTAGAGTTAAGTTTAAATTAGCATTTTATGAAACCCACCCCAACATGGTTTTTATAAAAATCAAACTACTTTTATTTCATCCAGGTACCTGTATGAGGAGTTACATTCCACCTTCATGATGTGATGAATTCATTTTGAATCAATTTTTAAAGGCTGGGCTAAATGCAAAATGTATATAATCTATCTATGTTGATTACAAAATCCCAAGTTAACTGTTCATTGTCATCATGGTTTTTGTATTTCACTTTAAATTTTATCATTTTACAAACACAATTATGCATGTGTATGCACTTTAATTCTCCACAGGCAAGAATTTGAATAATTTAAGAACTCCTCCAACATATTTCATCTTTTATGCTTTTTTATACCCTGAGATAAAGATACTAATGTTCTCCTTGATTTGATTGTATATAAATCGTACCTCAGTGGCATATCCAGCCTTTGTAATCTCCCACTAAAGGAAATGGACTAGCAGACAGGAGAATAGCCACACATATCTTCTGTTGTCCAGAAAGTGTTTCATCCTCTAGTGGGAGGTCAGGTTACTCTTGTAAACAAACAACATCTGTGGTCTTCACAGACTGCCCTGTGAAGGCTCAGAGTGAAGCAATAGTGGAAAAAGCAGATTTCTCATTAATGTGACACAGGAAATTATTACACTTGGGCTATTTTGAAGGCAGTTTTTCTTACCACACACCTCCAAAATATAGGAGACTGGGTTTTGTAGTGTATCATTTGGTTTGTCCATTGACAAGTGCCTCTGGAATATTGTTTTCATATTTTAAAAGATATAGGAGGACAGACTTGAGCACGTTATGCTAATCTCAATCACAAACACTGGAAACTTAGGCCTTGTGTAGATAGTTTAAGTCTTACTCTCAGACAAGTTGCTAAATTCTGGCATTACATACTTTTTTCCTGTATACCCTTATTATGTCAGCTCTATTACCATGGAAAAAATTCTAAATTCTAAATGTCTCTGAGAAGGATAAAACATTAAACAACATTGAACTATATGATCATGCCAGAGATTGAACTATTAAATAACTACTTATTATATTATCATTTATTCATCCTCCAATCATAACTAGTTGTCTGTATTTTAGTAGAAATATTTGTTGTAACTGACTAAAGCCCATGTCTAACTATGTAGATGGTAAAAAAAAGGTATTTTTTAAAAATTTCACTTAACCAAAAAATGGAGAGGGGAAAGTAGACTTTTAAAACACAAGCTAAACGATACATGAACATCAAAACAATCAAAACTTTAATTTAAATGACCTAGGTGTAGCAAATGGAATTCTTTTCATCATTCTTCATCCTGTATCAAGAAAGGAGGAAATGTTTATTATTCCTAAGGATATTCATTTCTTCTTTTTTTTAATTTAATTTAATTTTATTTTTTTTAAATTTTTTGTTTATTGCAGTAACATGGGTTAATAACATTGTAAAAATTTCAGGTGTACATCATTGTACTTCTATTTCTGCATAGATTACATCATGTTCACCACCAAAATACTAATTACAACCCATGGTACATGTGTGTGGCAAAGTTTATTTTAGAAAAAAAACATTAACAGAAACATGGTTTTCTATGAAAAGCAAGAGCTGGATATTACCAATGGTCATTAGTGGTATAAAAATATAAATAAAATACCATAAGTTCAAACAGTGAAATAGTAACAGACTTTAAAATAAACTACAAATATGTACAAAAATATGTATGAATTCTACAAATATAATATTGACTGAAATAAGCCTTTAATAAAACATATGAAATACTTCATATCTTACCATTTCTTCTTCACTCTCTATATAAAGCACGTTAGAATTCTTACAAGCACAAGCCATCAAACTCTCATTCCATGCTTTTCTTTCAATACTAATGTAATAGCAGTTGTTGGAATATGTTAACCACTCCTTCGAACAATGACAACTGTATACTAACAAAAGATTATGAATTGTTATCCCCCTAAAATTTGAATTTAAAAAATTGAAATTAATTTACACATTTGCATAGATAGAAACATATATGTTTATAACATAGCTATGCACCCTCACGGGCTGGTACATATAAAGCAAACACACTCATGCACCTTTACAGAGAAGGGTCAGCCTTTCATCACCTAATTTATGTGCCCGTAGAAAGCAAACACACAAACAAAAATATCCACTCTATACATGTCCTGAAAGTCAATGAATGAAAGCACTTTTTTAGAATAGTAATGTTATCTCTTATCATATTATAGCAGTAGGAAATTGGAGCCAATCAGCAACAATGGGTATGGTGATTTTAAATGAATATTTCTTCATATTGTTGTGTAAGAAGGACACTCTCCTACAATCATTACTCATGAACATTTATTGCCTGAGTTTATAATTTATGTTCTGCCCAAAAATCTATCATCATTTATGCCTAGCCTAAGATAGAGACAAAATAAATAGTATACTAACACCAGAACTTTGAAACTTATAATGTACGTTTCTGGATCCTTGTTATCAGCGAGGAATTATTCTGCTCTTGTATTACAGTACCTAGAAAAAATTAAAGTAATCCTTATAAAAAATTAATATTGATCTAAGTAAATCATAGTAATTTTACTTTCTTAGTTTGAAATTTGGTGTATTGTTTAGGATTAGAACAATCTACAATAAAATTGATTTTACCAAGAAAAGTTAATAAAGTGATTAAGATTTGGGGGGAAAATATTTCAAAGGCTTAAAGGACCAAACTTCAACATCTCTTAGAGCATTTGGTTTAACTGATCTCAAGAATTAATTTGTTTCTCAATGACGTCTTTCAGTCACCCAAAACACGTCTTTTGAATTAAGAAATCTGAATATATCTATAATACTATCTATAATCATCCTGTTATTTATACTTTTGACAAATTCTGAATAACCATTCCATATTAGTGTAAATGTGCACATTAAGATGAGCATTCTATTCCATAATGTTATGAAATGTTTAGAGGCATTGTTACCTTCTAATCTTTCAAAAATTTATTTACAGGGGCTAAAGACTACCATTTTTACTACAATGTACATTAAGACAAGGTAGATGATTCCCAGAATTCCAGCAATGAACTTCCCTTCAGGTGATGGTAAATCCGGAGGGAGAGAAATGGAAACCCTGAGGAAGGAGAGATGGAGGCAATTGTTTACAAAGTTTACGTACAAGAGAACCCACATACACAGGGAAACATGTATATAAACTTGGACCCCATATCTGCCATTATAATCTTTCTCTCAGAATATACTATTTCATTTTCAGTAAATACAATGCTCCATGAGTTGTTGGTCATATAATGCAAAATAAAAAAAATGTCTGAATAAAATTAGTCTGCAGATTTCATATTAGAATACTGGATTTCAACTTCAAGCTCTGATTCTCACAAATGAAAAATATGTGAGCTTATTTTCTACTCTTTCCTCACACCTCTGCACCCCAGCTGCATTTCCTAGAACAGTTATCCTGTGTGATTATTAAATGCTTTACACATACAGTGTTAGTTCTTGTCATTCTATTGGAGATCCTAAGAAGCATTTTGAAGGTTTAATTCCATGTAAGTTATTTCCTGTTCAGTTACTGAAATGGAGCTTTAGTGTCCTTAGGTTTCATTTGCTGTCTTCTTGAGTCCTTAATCAGATTCAGTTCTGCATAGGTTACTTTTTGGTTCTTCGTCTCTGTAGCTGAATAATGTCAGAGATGATGCTTTACGAAAACTAAGTAGTTA